GCTAGTCCATGTCTTTTGATAGGTGAGTTTAGGCCATTAACATTCAGGGTTATTATGGAGACATGATTTGTATTCCCAGCCATTTTTGTTTACTTTTGGTATTTAACTTGACTTGGTTTCTCCTTTGATTAGTTTTTCCTTTAGTTTAATACCTTCCTTTGCTGATTTTCATTGCTGTTTTTCATTCCCTCTTCATGGAATATTTTGCAGAGGATGTTCTATAGTACAGGCATCCAAGTTGTAAATTCTTTTCACTTTTGTTTATCATGGAAGGTTTTTATTTCATTATCAAATGAAATAAAAAAGCTTAATTTTGCTGGATATAAGATTCTTGGTTGGCATATGTTTTCTTTCAGAGCTTGATATATGTTGTTCCAGGATCTTCTAGCTTTCAGGGTCTGGGTTGAAAAATCTGCACATAATCTAATTGGTTTTCCCCTATATGTAATCTTATTTCTTTCTCTCTTGGCTTTTAATGTTCTCTCCTTATTCTGTATGTTAGGCATTTTCATTATAATGTGCCTTGGTAATGATCTGTTGTGATTTTGTACATTTGGCATCCTATAAGCCTCTTGAATTGGGTTTTCCAATTCATTCTTCATGTTTGGAAATTTTCTATATTATTTCATTGGATAGCTCATTCCTTTGGTTTGGACCTCTATGCCTTCCTCTATCCCAATAACTCTTAAATTTGGTCTTTTATGCTATCCCATATTTCTTGAATGTTTTACTCATGGTTTCTTACCATTTTCACTGTATGAACTACATTCTTTTGAAGATTATATGTTTTGTCTTCATTGTCTGAGGTCCTGTTTTCCAAGAGGTCTAATCTGTTGGTGATGCTTTCAACTGAACTTTTAATTTTGTTTATTATTTCTTTCATTTAAAGGATTTCTGGTTTTTGTTTGTTTTCAGAATCTCCTTATTGAAGTAATCTTTGCTTCCTGTATTTGTTTATGTAGCTCTTTGTCTGCCTTTATTTGCTCTCTTATATCATCCTTTAATTCCAACATTTGAACATCCTGAACTCCTTCTCTGTAATTTCCTCTGCTGTGCTGGCCATGGCTTCTAATAATGTGGACTCCTGATTTGTTTGGGGCACTTTCTTCCCTTGTTTTTTCACATTGCTTGTGTGTCTTCCCTTCTATTTCTGATGGTGGACAAAGAACCGAGGGTGAGGAGTAGGATTATATGCTGAGGAGGTAGGACGTGAGGATATAGAGTTGTTATATCTTAGGAAGTGTGAAAGAGAAATCTAAAGAGGAAGATTAGTAGCAGGAGAAGGGAGAGGAAGTAATTTTGTGTAGACAAGTAAGTGGGAAGACAGTAGAGTACATAAAAAGACCACACATGTATATTAAGAAAAACAAAAAAAATGTTAAAATAGTAGAAATTGGTGGGGGAAAAAAGAAAAAAAGAATATAACACAACTGTAATATATTATTCAGATGTCCCAGTCCTCAAAATCCTAATTCATGAAACGTACTTGGTTTCACATATGTTGGGGATGTGAGGGCAGGAGAATAGGGATGGAGAAGAACAACAACAACAACAAATCTTGAAGGAAGAAACAGGGATTGTTTCTGTTGGAGATCAGTATCTTTCCTGCGTCCCTTCTCATCCAATAGTCGGGTCATCTGCTGTTAGCTGGCAACTCCACCTTCAGGATGGTGAAGGTAACCAGGGTGTCACTGTGCCTGGCTAGCGGCTGCTGGGAGAGGGGTGTTAGAAACTGGGTACCTGGCCAGGTGGAGTTTCACACTGGGAGTTGCACGCACTGAAGATGCTGATGTTTTCGGGGAGCACTATGGATGCTGGGCACAGGGGATTCCTGAATGAAGCCAAATAAAAGGCGATCGTGTGCTGGCACAATCTACAGAGAAAGAGGCTGTGGAGCAGACCTGGGCCTCCGTTGCTCAAGACGGCAAACTCTCCACAAGGCTTTACTAGTGATGCTGCTGTTCAACTGAAGACAGAAACGCCACTTCAGACACATCCATCGTCSTCACTCTAAAGTCTCTGCTGGTGCCTGGACCTTAACCAGCCCCTCCCTTCCCCATGCCCTGTCTCCTTCAAACCAGCTATTATGTCATTCACAGGTCTCCTTCAGGCTGTTTTTTAGCAGGGCGTGGCAGTGCAGCCTGTAATCTCAACAACTCAAGAATCTGAAGCAGGAGAATTGCAAGTTTAAGGCCAGCCTCAGCAACTTAGTGAGACGCTGGCTCCAAAAAATAAAGGAAGAAAAAGGGCTGGGAATGTAGCTCAGTGATAGAGGATCCCCTGGGAGATAGATAGATATATTTGCCACAATCACTAAACAATTCCTAAGAGGAACATTATATGTCTTTGAAGACTTATAAAAATAATCTGCTTTGGGCTGGGGATGTGGCTCAAGCGGTAGCGCGCTCGCCTGGCATGCGTGCGGCCCGGGTTCGATCCTCAGCACCACATACCAACAAAGATGTTGTGTCCGCCGAGAACTAAAAAATAAATATTAAAAATTCTCTCTCTCTCTCCTCTCTCACTCTCTTTAAAAAAAAAAAAAAATAATAATCTGCTTTGTGTGATCAGGCCCTGATGTATCTCTTCTCTTCAGTGACTCATTAACTAAGATAAAGCTCTCTGACCCACAACTGAGTCATCCAACAAAACCCTGCCAACACAGACGTCACTCCTGCGCCCTCAGCGTGATCTCTGCCACAAACAACAAGGGAATGACTTCTTGAGATTCTACTCATCTCCACATTTTCAAGTAAGCTACTTAGTGGATGTAGCAAGAGTTTTCTTAAACTGGCTTGACAGCTTTAATGATAGGAAAGCCTCAGGCCCCAGATCTACACATGTGATTCAGTAGAGCCAGAAACTCACCTTAGTCACCTTGGCTGGGGGTGGACGCAGAGGGAGCATGCAGGAAGCCATGGTTCAAGTCCCAGCACCAACAAAAGAGTTATTTTTTAAAATAGTTCCAAAAGTTATAGCACAGATGAAGTGTCTGTGTTAACTGCCAGTCTAAGAATCTAACAAAAACTGCCTGAAATCATAAAAATGCTTGAGCTTCTAAGATAAACTCATGTGTCTCTGAAGGGTCTAACACCATGAGTTAGGAGCTGTGAGGAAAATCTAGTACAATCAGGACAGCAGGGCCAAAGTACATGCTGGACCCGGGGAAGCCGCCTGCATCTTCAGAGGCGCTGTGCAGCACTGAGATGTGCACGGGAGCCTGCAGGCGCTGCTCTTTCTCACGGTGAATGCTAATTTCACAGACCCTCACAGGCCGTCAGCATCGGTCAAGCTCACATTAGATAGCATCTTTAATTTTCCACTTGGTAAAGACTTGTTAAGGATATAGAAAAAATTACTAATTATCTTCTGGAAAGAACATTACACTTCTGAGAGCTCAGTGGCTCCTTGAACTTCCCAGTTCTCTGGAGACTTTGATAGGATCTTGCTGTGATTCATGAGCACCAGTCCCATCAGTCACCGGGCAGCCTCCTCCTGGGCCCAGTAACGTTCCAGATGCTTCATACACTGACGTTTCCTTGCCAATATGTTTCTCATCACTTTTCTTTTTCATAATGAGCTCTGAGGGAATAGAGACAGATTCTGGGAAAGCCAAAGGGGCCCAGTGGGAAAGCCCCCTGCTACACACCAGGTGTGACGGCGAGGGACAATTCTGCAGCCTGATGTACGTGACCCACAGGCTGGTGCTTGTGTGAAGTGATTTGTCATTGCCATTCTTTCCGGAGGACAAGGTCACAACCTGGGATGGCAGCATGGGCAAGATCTTGAGCACCTGCCTTCCTTCCAGTGGAGCAAAGATCCCCCTAGAGTACCAGCCTCCTCCATGATCCCACACAAGCCAAGCTTGCCACAGAACAAAGGGCTGTGTGTACAAGTGCCGTCAAAACGTCCCGAGAGTGAGCCGCTTTCGCCATGTGGCTGGTGAGGGGCAAGGGCCAGTGCTCTGTCTGGGCCAAGGGTCCCCAGTGAGGTGAGGGTTGGCTACAGCTTTCCTTCCGCTCCCTGGGGGAATCCCAAAGCCTATGAGTGAGGTCGGCAGCAGGAACAGTGGCTAAGGGGACCCAGCAGATCCTGCCCCGGGGGAGGCCATCCCCCCAGGTGGCAGCCCACCTCCCAGAGGGAGTCCACTTTCGGAGCTGATTTCAAGGGGGCTCAGCAGGCTAAAGAAGGGACTGGGGGCTGGGGATGTGGCTCAAATGGTAACGCGCTCATCTGGCATGTGCGRGGCGCTGGGTTCGATCCTCAGCACCACATAAAAATAAAATAAAGATGTTGTGTCCACCAAAAACTGAAAAATAAATATTAAAAAGTTAAAAGAAAAAAAAAGAAGGGACTGGAACCCACCTGGGTTGCCTTTGAGAGACGGCCACTCACTGGAGGATGCGTCCTTCCTCCTGCCTCTGCCTCCGGAAGATGCACTTCTAAGCAGATGCTGTGTGGCCACTTCCTGCAGAGCCAAAGACACCAGGACAGGCTGGGCTTTCCTCCCGCACCTCGGTGCAGCCCTCAGGTTCCTTCCAGCCAGCCTGGGCATGCAGAAGCACGGTGAGTCTTATCAAGACACCAGATTTCCTCTTTAATAAAGRCTCATTTTTTAAGAGTAAGATACTCATTGAAAGCCATGCCTTGGTGGACGGACGGTGGAAGCTAATCATAGCAGTCTGCCTGGCACAGGGCAGTGGGGCAGCCCACCTCCTCCCAAGCTACTACTGCCACCTGCTCTAGAGAAATGGGGGGCACAGCCGCGACAGCACACTTGACAGAGTTAATTGCAAAGAGAAGACGGCAGGCACCCACATCCTACAGATGTGTGCTCCTCRGGATTGACAACACACACGCATGCTGTCTCTGTGTTGGCAGTTTATTGAAAAAAAAAAAAAAAAAAACAAGGCCTCCACTCTAACAACTTTTTCTTTGTCATTTCCTTTAATAGAAGAAATTACCAAAAAATTGGGGGTATATTATCTTTGCAGACTGACACATTCATGACCCTGAATCAGGCAAAGAATAAAAGACAATATAAGAACAAATTTTGCTTCCAGCAACATCATCACACAACAGTTGAAGGGTTACAGTGCAGTGGTTACAAGACGTTCACAACAGGATGGTCTCAGCCCAGAGACGGACAAGCGAAAACCGCCCGCTGCTTAAGAGCCCGGGCCGCGAGCAGCTGCTGGGAACAGAGACGGCGAGGGTAAGGCTTTCGGGGGCGCCCCCGCGGCTCTGCCCAGGGGACCAGCACCCTCACTTTGAGTCTTGGTCTTTCTTTTCATCTAAAAGGGCGGAGCGAATCCCCAGCTTTTTCAGTTCTTCCACCAGGTCCCCGTTCTGGTGCATCTGCAGAAGAATGTCACAGCCTCCCACAAACTCGCCGTTGAGGTACACCTGCGGGATGGTGGGCCAGTTGGAGTAGTCTTTAATGCCTGTCGGAAGAGTGGGGACAGGTTACCTCCCAGGTCAGAGCTGAGCCTTCACAGCAGCACTCGAAGCTTCCCCTGCCCACCCCCCAGGAGGAGCAACGAGTTTTCCAGGCACATAGACTAGGGTCTCGCTCCTCCACAATGACCTCTAAGACCTCGAGAGGTCACGTGACCTTGTGACTCATTTCCCAAGGTTTTTGTGAGAACTAGGTAGGTAAAGCTTGAGTGAAACACACGTCAACAGTGGGTTAATGACAGGAGGACTGGATTGGTTAATTTAAGTCATGTAAGATACACGATGCCACAAACCTGCCARCCTTGTTTTCAAAACCAGAAGAAATGTCCCAACCTCATTTCCAAATGGACTACTTGACATGGACCCGTCATGGTAACCAAGCACCCAGTCRGGAGACTCCCCACCTGTGCGCCCTCATGCCTGTCTACGCCAGTTCGGGCCACCCGACACTGACGCTCAAGAAACTGAGCTGTTGGTTTTTATTGTTGATAATTATTTTAACCCAGAGAAAATTCCTGTCCTATGGTGCCAACCACAAGCCCATCCTCCTCCACCACARAGATGAGCTGTCCATGAATAGGGGATCCAGCTCAGCTCCAAACCCAGAGTGACTTACACAGGTAAGAAAAGGCCCCAGCCCCACAAGTCCATGTGCTGAGGAGCCTCAGGGCTAGAGAGCAAGTGAGACCCACTCTCTGCTCTCAAGAGCTCACGGCACACAGAAGAGTCAGGGCATCTGCTCTGCGACTGTGCACCAGGAGATTACTCTGCTTAATTCTGGGCCATACAGATGAGGACAAAACTCTGTCCAGCAGGAAAGAAATGTGGTTTCAATGTTAAACATTTTAAAAGTATTCTTTCTAAACCCCCCACAGTGGAGCCTGCCTGCAGTCCCGCTACTTAGGAGGCTGAGGGAGGAGGATCCTGGAGCCCAGGGGTTGGAGGCCAGCCTGGGCAGCACAGAAAAACCCTAACTCCAAAACAAACAACAAAACAAAACATACTCTTCCTTCACATCCCTCTTCATTATTCTATTCCGTTTTCTATTCTTATGTTGATACAGATATACTTTCAAAAACACATTCAGCCATATTCCTATTCTAACACTGATTATGTTGGAAACAAAATGGTAAATATATGGCACAGATTATTAATTGCTACAGACTACATATGTGATAATTTTTACTTATATAGACAGATGTTTTTAAATAGCAAAATGAGCATACAAATGAATAAAAATAAACAGATTTCTTCAAGTAAAACACGCCTCTGGGCTTAATCTTCACTACCAAAACAACAACAACAAYAACAAAAACAGTATATGAATTTTTAAAAATGGCTAAGTAGAGATTTTTATGCAAACTAAAAAATGCAAAACTTATTCCTGGTACACTATTATTTGGAATCATTTATTTTCCAAATAAAATTATCAATTTGAGTTGGGTCATAAATAACAGTCCCAAGGCAAGAGTATATTTCTCTTAAAAGTTATTGCCTTCTGCTGGGCACAGTGTCCCATGCCTGTAATCCCAATGGCTAGGGAGGCTGAGGCAGGAGGATCATGAGTTCAAAGCCAGCTTCAGCAATGGCAAGGCTCTAAGCAACTCAGTGAGGCTGTCTCTAAATAAAATTAAAAAAAAAAAAAAAATAGGGCTGGGGATATGGCTCTAGTGCCCCTGAGTTCAATCCCTGGTACTCCACCTCCCCAAAAAAGTTATTGCCTTCTAAAAAATATAAGTGACTTTGCTCTAAACCGTACATCTGTGATCAGGGCTGGGGAGAGACCCTGAGTCACCGGTTTTTTATCTTTCTTCTCCAGGCATCAACATTAAGAAATGGTCACAAGCCAGGTGTGGTGGTGCTGCCTGTGATCCCAGCAACTCAGGAAGCTGCAGCAGGAGGATTATGAGAGGTTAAAACCAGCCTGAGCAACTCAGTGAGGCCCAGAGCAACTYCATGAAACCCTATCTCAAAATAAAAAGGGCTGGGGGCGGGGTAGCTCTGTGGTAGCTCCATGGTAGAGCACCTCTGGGTTTAATCCCTGGTACCAAGAAAAAAAAAAAAGAAATAGTCAGAAATGGTCACAATGTCACAGGCTTCTAAAAGCTTCTTAGCCACTCTGGATGTCTATGAAACAATCAGCTGGAGGCTCCGGGCTCCCGTAAAGCGAATGGCTTTACAATACCAGTGGTCTAAATGCTAGAAACTCCCTGCCCACAAGCAGGACCATCACCCAGCCCTGAGCACCTTCAACACAGACGAGCCAGGATTGCACCTGCAATTACGTCTGCTTCTTTCCAACTGGTCATACACTGTACTAAGCCTTCCAGCAAAATAAAAATTATGCCTACTACTTTGTGAGGACCTAAAATTTTAAAATCACCAAAAATGAAAACAAATTTGCTGCCTGAAAGCTACCCAAAACCATGTTTATTCCTAAATGGTATAATTTTTTAGTAAATCTTTTCTGAGTAAAAGAATGAATTGCTTTTTATCAATCATTTTTATAGAGCCAGACTCAAAGCACTGGACTTGTTATCTTCATGAAATTTCATGTTACCACACAGGGAGTCCTGACTCTCACCTAAGAGAGGGAACTCCAGGGGACTCCAGGAGAATTCTTATCACCAAAACGAGCAGCTGCCAGCCAGGCTGGATTGCAGAACATAAACCCAACATGCAGCCTGAGTCCTCACAAACCCCTCTGCCTGGGTCGTCTTGCCTCTCAACTTACATTGAGAATGCAGAGGTCAGCCCAAGGTGAATGACAGCACTTTCCTGACAGCATCCAAGGTGTCCACGAGCCAAAGTTCCTCAAGACTGAATCTACCTGCTTCTTTTGTCTGGACTCACGAGAGCTGTGGGCAGCTGATGGCCAGGCAGAGCCTCAGCACCCTTCCCCAGCCCTGCGCGATTTTTCATTTTTAAGAAATCTGATCACTAGTCTAAATATTTGTAAGGAAATATCCAATTGTCCCCCACAGAGTGAAGTGAGAAGCTTTTAATAATTAAAGAATGTTATTCATAATTCAAAATTTAAATGAATTCCTGGATCCACAAGTAATTCTTTACACAGGGTTTATTTCTCTCTCGCTTTAGTTTTCAAAAACTGCAGTATATAGTGATGGCTTTTACAAATACCTCTTGAAATAACTCAAAGTCAGAGAGCAACTCTTGAAAATTAGAAAACCAGACCCAAGAATGGATTTTACTGATGATCGTGTTTCATATGTTAGACAGTGAGTCCTGTGGGACAGAAAATGCCGATCACAAAGTTACCTAACAAGTGGCAGCACCTGGACTGGGCATTTGGAAGCTCTCCAACAAGAGGCGTCACAGCCTACTCCTCCATCACAAAGAAGCCACTACTCCAACGTCACGCCAGTGCGCTGGCAACCCCCCTCCAGAACTTCCAAAATGTTCATTCCTCTGGGTCAGAGGCACACACCTGTGATCCCACTGACACGAAAGGCTGAGGCGGAAGGATCACAAGTTCAAGGCCAGCCTGGGCGACTTAGGGAGACACTGTGTCAAGATAAAATAAAAAGGGTATAGCTCACTGGTAAGCACCGGCCTGGCATGCACAGGGGCCTGGATTTGATCCCCACCTGGCAAAAAAAAAAAAAAAAAGGAGGTAGGTGCAGCTCTGCACCTGCCCAGCATATGTGAGGCCCTGTATTCAATCCCCAAGACCATTTTTTTAAAAAGTACTTCCCAAAATACACCACCCTTCAGAACACTGGACTTTACTCCTGGCTTGGACACTAAGTTGCTCCTGAGCACCACAATCACAGCTTGCTTTCTTCTTGGTAGAATTTCTCTACAGGTGGATTAATTCCACTCTCACTTGCTTACCAGGCTCTGTGACCGTGGGCAGGACACACACCTCCCAGGGTCACATTTCCTCACTGTCCTACAACTTGGAGACCAGCATTAGGAGGACACGAGATGACCCAAGCATGGAAACCAGCAGACCCTCACTAGAGGAAGAGCAACACAAAGCCAGCTTCCTGGCTTGCAAATGCAGCCTTGCAGAAATCTGTCTCTCTCAGACTCAACTTTCTCCATCTGCAAAATGGAAAACACTCTGCCTCACAGATTTATCCTGAAGATCAAATAAGACACAATGCATGAAATGACCTAAGCTTCAAGCACAGTGCAGGCTAAATCTCTCATTGTCAATGTCCTCTACAGCCAGTCTCCACAGTAATGTTTTCCTCAGAAATATATGAAAGAGAGAAAGCACAGGGAAAAACTGTAGGAGTGATTCAAGCCAATGCCATCCATCAGTAATAAAAATGGCATTTAATGAGCTAAGTTACTAAGTTTCATCTCTTAAGTGGTTTCTTTACAAACACCCTACAAAGTAAGTATAATTATGCCTATCTTACAGATGAGGAAGCTAAGGCTCAGAGAGGTTAAGTAACTTACCCAAAGTTACATGTGCACCCAGGTTTCCAGGCGTCCAAATGCCAGGCTCCTAATCACATGCTGCCTCAGACCCTCCTAGAGGGACTCCAGTCTGTGGTGCCATCTGTCCTCCTGCCCCTGAGCTACACTTGCACTGCCATAGATCTGCAATAGCTAGGACTGTTTTACATCCCATGTGTACTTAGGTTTATGTACACAAGCAGCACTGTGTCTTAATGACTATTTGCAGCTTGGTTTTTTACCAAACACTGTATTTTTGAGACTGAGCATGCTGATCACAAGGACATCTAGCTCACTTTAAGACAACTTGGTTTTCTACCATAGATAAAACTGGACTGTTTATCCAGTGTGCTACTAACATCCCTTTCTGTCACTGACATTTTCCATCCTTACAAGCGACATCTGCGAACATCTTTGGCATGGATGTTGACACACTTGGGCAAGAGTCAGGCTCTCTAGACTTGGGGGTAGCAAAGGATGTTCAGGCCAAACCAGTCCACTTCCTTTTTCTTCCTCTGTAAATAAAGTTTTATTGGAATCAGCTATGCTCATTCATCTATAGGTTATCCATGACTGCTTTCACCTACAACAGCAACTGAGACCCCCAGCCCAGGGTGCCTGCAGCACTTCCTCCAGGGCCTTCATAAAGGAAGCTTGCCAACCCCCAGCCCAGACCATCTTTCCAGGAGTGAAGCAGCTGGGTCCAGGCTCTGTTCAGCTCTGACTTGCTAAGTGCTGACCCCTACTCCTCCCAAGTGCTGGTACCTTTTCTACTCACTTATAGCACAGAACTTACCTTCCACACCAGTGCATACCCACAACCCCTTGTCCAACTGTCAGTACACGCCATGTAAGAAGGGCTTTCTTTACTAATGCAGCAAATTCATGACACTGGAAAGGTGGCACGTGTTTTCAAATGCTAAATAAACATTCAACAGTAGGATATGGGAGTGTGGAGGAAGAAGGATGGCTGACAGGTACAGGGTGAGCTGGACACAAGGAATACCTTTTCATACACCGCAGCCAGTGGGATAACTGGTGACAACCGGTTTCGGAGAAGTTCTAAAAATTCCCAGCACAAGGAAACAAGAGTCTGAGGCAACTACTCTGATCTGATTTGCATTCTGTATATGCAATGAAATACTACACTGTGCCCGAAAAATGTATAATGTTAATTAAAAAAAAATTTTTTTTTGGTACTGAGGATTGAATGCAGGGGCATTCAACCACTGAGCCTCATCCCCAGCCCTATTGTGTATTTTATTTAGAGACAGGGTCTCTCTGAGCTGCTTAGTGCCTTGGCATTGCTGAACCTGGCTTTGAACCCGCATCCTCCTGTCTCAGCCTCCTGAGCTGCTGGGATTAGAGGCATGCGTCACTGCACCCAGCTAAAATTTTTTTAACTACAAAAAAAGAAAAAAACAATAAGACAATGGTTACTCATTCAACAATATTTGAATCTCTATTTTGTCAGACACTATTCCCARTGCAAGGAATACAAAGGTGATCTAAACAAGAAGAAATTCAGGAATGTTTATAATGTTTTTAAGAACACAGATTTTGCAATATGATGATAAATTAACAAAAGTCTTAACTGATCCATTAAAGAAGTCACTGAAAGCCTGTTTTGCACAAGCAGCAGACATGGTGCCACAGGCAGGTGCATAAGACACGTACTCTGTTCTGCAGAGGGCAAAATACTATGTTCAGACAAGCAGGATCTGTTTGGAGAGAGGTCTTGATGTGACCTAAGGAACAAAGGCGAATGGGGAGGCAGCACTGTGCTCCAGGCTTCCTCAAGACCCCTGCATACTCYAGATAAAGCAGAGGACAAGAAGGCCTCTCTGCATCAGGTTTCTATCACCCAAGCCTAGGAGCTAGGGGGACAGTGTTTTCTTGGACTTGGGCCCTTTGTGAAGCTCAGTGTTCCCTGGCACAAGACACAAGGAAGGGCCAATTTTGCAGSAGCCCTGCAGCTGTTATGAGAAGCAACCCTGAGCCTGGGAAAGGTAAGCAGACATGCTTACTTGGCTGGCAAAAGCAAGCACCAAGTGCCTGTCAGCCTCTCTTGGCAAACTTCAGGTGCAGAGCAGAGAGAAAAGGAGTCTCATGATGTAAAGTCCTAATGTGGCCACAGTAGTCCTCACCATGGGAATGCCCTTACATCACCCTGCCCCAGCCTGAACACGAGCACTTCCATTATGCTTTTCTAAGCAACAGAAGAGGTGTATGTGATGCTCAATATTTATGAAGAACTTCTTTTTTCTTTTTCTTTTCTTTTTCTTTTTTTTTTTTTGGTACTGCGGATAAACCAGAGCCTCTGGCTGGGGTTGTGGCTCAGCAGTGGAGTGCTCACCTAGCACATGTGAGGCCTTGGGTTTGATCCTCAGCACCAAATGAAAATAAACAAATAAAATAAAGGTATTGTGTCCAACTACAACTTAAAAGAAAGAAASAAACAAACAAACCAGAACCTCCTACATGCTAGGCAACACTTACACACAGCCCGTCCCAGTCACCTGTTTGTTTGTTTGTTTTTTTGAAGACATGGTTTATAATTACCCAGGCTGGCCTGAAACTTAAAATCCTCCTGCCTCAGCCTCCTGAATAGCTGGGATCACAAGCATGTGCCACCATGTCCAGCTATGCAATGCATTTATTAACCAAAATAACAATCCAATGAAATTCAAAGGTCATGAGAAGTGAGGGTTAAATTCCTCTGTTATTTGAGCATTTAAAGGACATAGATTAGACTCCAGATGTAAAAAATAAGATGATAGAGACATTATTAATGCCATCAGTAACCCTAATTTCTGTTCCCATGGTGTTTATTAGTCATATTCCAGTATACCTTATCTCCACTTACATTAAACAAGAGAATGTAAATTTACAAATTAAAGAAGTTCATGGTATTGAAGTATCAATAGTACAACTTTTTGCTATTAGCCATACTGGCAATCTCCAGGGGATCTATGGCAAGGTCCCAGTTGAAAGACTGCAGAGTGGTTACTCTTATCTTTCAAGTCAAGAAGCTGGCTTTCAATGAAGGCCACTGATCCCCCTGTGCTTGATAAAACCTGGAGCCAGAAAACTGGCCAAGTTCTTGTTGATCAGACTCATGAGTGCAATGTGTGGTAATGTCATGTCAACCTAGCAATAATAAATTGCCCTTCCTCCGTCACTTAACACGCCTCCTAGGTTTCATCCAACAAAACTACTGCCAGTAGCATATGTAGGATCATCCAATACCAAGAGTTTTGGGGTTTTTTTTTTTACAAGGATGAAACAATGTGGGGGAAAAAATACTTAGAAAACCATGAAGTGCTAATAATAAAATAGCTACCATTTACTGGGTGCTTTCTGTACCAGATGAAGTGATCCGCACTTTCTGTCATTTTTACTTTTTTTGCCAAGTCGGGTRTCATTATCCTCAATTTACTGAAAAGGAAACTGCAGTTAGTTGTGACTTGTGTAAGGCTAACAGAACACAAGTCTCCAAAATGTACTTTTCACAACACCAGCCTGTTACATCAACGTAAGGAAAGACCATGGTTAGTAACTTCAAATGCCCACCCTAACATAGAAACTGGGATCTCTCTTTAGCACAATCTGAAAGTACCAGGCAAAGGAGGTGCAGAAACTCAGCCCCTCAAGTCCTTAACTAGAAAGCAGTGCCCCGGGGCTAGTCCCCAGGAAAAATGAATACAGATTTCCCATTTTTCCACCTACCCCAACCAATCCTTCCTTGCCCAGGAGCAGGACCCTACAGGGCACAGTGGCACATGCCTGTAATCTCAGTGACTCAGGAGACTGAGGCAGAAGGATTGATACTTTGAGGCCAACCTCAGAAACTCAGTGAGACTCTCAGCAACTTGAGAGCTTCAGTCTCAAAACAAAAAAGAAGAACTGGAGATGGAGCTCAGCAGTAAACCACCCTGGTTTTAATCCCTAACACTACCCCTGACACCCCCCACACACACACACAAAAGGAGCAGGTCCCGAAGCTGGTCCTCTTCCTCCCTCCACCCTAGAATGGGAGAATGCTGATAAATTACCTAACACATTGYATCAGAGATGCTAACTAGCTGTCATAGCCCTCTACCTTCCCGTAGGAAACAAAAACCCACAGGCCCTGATGCTCTGGTCCCTGTCCTTTTGGACTCCCAAGTTGAGGCAATGAGTTAGTTTGGAGTGCAGAAGCCCAGACTGTAATGCTAGCCCTCTCCTTGTAGCAACCACAGAGGATGGTCGCTGACACCCTGAGCCTTGAACCATGAAAGGCCAGCCTCTGACCCCACTAACCTCAGACAAGGGCAATGTGGCCCTCTTCCCCCGTGAACAGTACCAGTCCCTATCCGCAAGGCAGACCAAAGGCTTCCAAGCCCCTCAAAGTGTTCCTTAAAGCGCCTACCTCCTAGAGGACACTCGTTATGAGCTCCCCTCTTTGCCCCACTTCCCCAGTCCTATAGGGCGGGGAGTCTGCCAGAGACTGCTCGCCTGGAAGTGCCCAATCCCCTCAAAGTGAGCATGGGCTCCTAGGACTTACACCACTGTCCAAACTGGCAACAGCCCCAGAGCCCCAGACCCTCAAGATCTGCRCGAGTCAATTACACCCTTACCTAACTCTCTATCCAGGACAGTACTCCGCGCCCTAACGCCGGTAGAAACTGCAGAGACCCAGCCCAGCGGTGGCGCGATCGAGACCCCGCCCCGCACGATGGCACCTCGCCCTCGCCCTCGCCCCGCTGCCCTCGGGCTCTCAGGCGCCGAGGCCCAGCATGACCCTCCGACCCGCGCGCTCCGAAGCCTCCGCGGGTCACCCGACCCCGCGGCCGCGGGCCTGACCTTGTCGGAGCTCGGGGTCGTCCAGMACGTTATAGGCCGCGTAGTCGCGGACGCCGTGCAGCCGCAGGATCTGCACCACGGCGTTGCTGAAGCCGCACTGGGGCTGCTCCGGCGTCCCCTTGAGGAAGACCACCACCTTGTCTTTCTTCACCATCGTGTCCAGCTGCTCTGCCCGGCCGCCGCCGCCCGAGCCTGCCGCCCGCACGCCGGTTACCCGGAGGCCGCCGCCGCCCGCGGCCCGCCCCCAGCGGAGTAGAGCCGCCGCCRCCCGGCCCAGGGACGCGCTCATCCCCTCCCGCCCTCCGGAGCCCTCTACGGCGCCCGAACCTCAGCGGCCACTGAGTCTTCTCTAGGCCCGCGGCGGCCCGGCCCGCCCCCCAGAGGCCCTCATTGGACGGAATCCTAACTGCTCTTCACGATTGGACAATACCAGCCCGCGCAGGTGGGTGGTGGGCCTTACGTCGGCACCTCACCGCCTTCCTATTGGCTGTCGGCAATAGCTTTTCCAGTTGATTGGACAGAGTGGATGCCCATCAGAGTCACGCTGAGGGACCACGGGAAACAAAACTGGGGGAAAGCGACTTTCTTCCGGAAAGTCGCCAAGGGGGCCAGCAGGGATGCCCAGGGATGGCGGGGAAAGGYGCTGGGCGGGGTTTCGTCTGTTCTGCGGAACGCCGGGAAGGGGTCACTTCTAGACGAAGGTTCCGGTTCCGAAGTCGGCTGCCGGGGGTTGCCATGGCGACGCGGCGGGCAGTCGATCCGGCTCTAGCCGAATCCCGAAAGTCGGAAGCACTAGGGCAGGGGGGCCCTCGCTTCTCCAGCCCCGGTGAGCCTCGCGGGCGCCCGAGGAGCCGACACGACGGGGAGCTGGGCGGGGCCCCGGCCTCAGGCCTGCGGGTTCCCTCCCTGGCCCCGCCGCGCACGTGGGCAGCGGCCCAGGCCCCGCCCGGCGCGCGATTTTTTCTCTGGAACAACTTTTGCTTTAAAAATGTGTCAGGTGCTGTCGCCTGCGCGGTCGCTGGACTTCGGGCCTCGCCGGTCCTCCAGCCCAGCTGAGTCAGCGCTCAAGCCTGGGCTGGGCAAGGGTTGCTGAATGGAGAACTCAAACAGGGAGGAGCTGCCAGGCGCCCGCGGCCCGGCGCTCGGAAGCTCCCGCCGGCGATCACGTGCACCTGCGAGTTCAAGACCAGGCTGGGCGGCCTAGCGTGACCCGGTCMGGAAAAGAAAAAGTAAGTAGGAGTAATAAATGAATGGGTTCCTCCCACAGCCATCTCCCCAGCAGCTTCCGGGTGCTTGACGCGGTGCCAACATCGACTGTCCCAGGACGCCCGGTGTCCGAAGCTTGTAGTTAGCACGAGAAATGAGAAGCGGAAATAAAGCCMTGTCGGGGTACCCAGGAGAGAAAAGTCTTCCTCAGGCCACTGTGCATACGTGTCATTGCTTGGCCTGTGTTTACTAACCAGAACAAGGGCTGGAACGTGGTAGGTGCCCTTACTGGTAAAAGCATGAGTCCAAAGAGCAGGACTGGGTGGAATGCTGTATGGTCTGCAGTCTTGGGACCGCGCTGGGTTGGTKGTACCCCAGAGCACACCAGACTTGCAGAAAAATCATACTCCGGAGGAAGCTGAGGCATGCCTGCTCCAGAGCCAGCGGTTCCATGTGCAATTTTCCTCTGACAGTTCCTGAATACTGTTGCCACGGTGATAATGACCTCCATGTCATTATCTATCCACCAACAGTAAGAGAAGCTTTGCAGTCGAGATATTGTTTGGCAGACAGAGTGGTTTCTGTTGGACACTAAGTACTGCTACAAATTATTTTTTTTTAACCTTTGAGTTATTTTTCAAATAATGCTGGAGGTAGTTTGTTTATTTTGGGGGAATGCTCAAGTCTAAAACCGGAAAATCAGCACATGTCAGCTTGTGAGTCTTCGAGATAATCATTCAGCATGAAACTTACTAATAAACTTAGGACACYACCGGGAAGTGCTCTTTATTGTCATCTTATAACCCCCTCGATATTATTGATGCTTGCTAATTTTCTAATGTGGGATCCAAAATTAGAATCTTTGTTTTGGGCTGAGTTGTAGTTCATGCTTGACCCTGGGTTCAATCCCCAGCACTGAAAAAAAGAAAAGAAAAGAAAAGAAATAATTTTTCTTTGTTTTACAGATCCATTAATTCCGGATAAGTCAGAGGAAGGAGCATCATGGGAAGAAATATATAGAAAATGCTGTTAACGCTGAGTTGACTGTTGTTTCAAAGTCAGAAGGTGTCCTTAACAATACAGAATGTATTAATTTCCTTCCAAAATCAACTTTTATTCATGTATATATTGGAGTAAGTTTCTTACTTAAAAATTTTTGATAATTTGTTCCTGAAAACCTACATTGTTTTTTATTTAAACTGTCTTAATTCTGTTTTTGTATTGACTAAGAGAGGGAGAAGAATTCACAAACTGTGTTCTGAGGATCTGAGACAGAGTAGTAATGGGAACATATATGTAGACCACACACACTCTGTGTTTTCATATATTTATATATTTTTATATAAACATTATTCTATCCCTAAACTAGTGTGTAATGTTGTCTTCTGAAGAACATTTGTCCTTTTYAGTTGTCAGATGTTACTAAGTTGAGAATGCASCTATCATTAAAAATTAAAAGTAATCCTTGAGCAGGAAGAGTATAAAGTCTATGTTTTTCAAAATTATAGTGGAGCTGTAGTGTCTTGTAGATAGAAACACATGCCAAAGATCTATGGGTGTTCTTTCAAGGAGCTGAGACGGGTGCCTTTGATAGAGTGACCAAGGGCAAGAAAGCAATTTAAATCTCTAAACAACAACAACAAAAAAATTGAAACAGTATATCTAAATTTAAGTCCTTAAGGGTTTCAGGATATGGCTCAGTGGAAGAACACTTTCTTAGCATGTGCAAGTTTTATGGTTAGCTTCACAAAAGGCAATAATAAAGATACATTGAAACTTTTAGTAAAACACAACCTAAAATACAGTGAAGTATGGCATCTGTTAGCTGGTTCTGTTTGTGACTTAATTCCCTTGGAGTATTAGCACCAAAAACCAAAAAGAACATTTAAACTTTTATACATGATTCACTATTTTGATTTTGAGATTTTTCTTTAGAAATTTTATAACAAAAACTTGTTAGAAATTTGCTGTTGTGTTGTTGAGCGTTTTGAACAAGTAAGTCACCTGTGTCTGCCAGTTTGTGTTCTCTCCCTGTGGGTTTAGTTTGTTTTGTGAAACCAGGGCCTCATCCATGCTCGGCAAGCTGTCACCCAGATCCTAAGGTTCTCATGAATTTCCAAATTTCCCCACACCCAATGGGCATTAATGAGCAGTGAGGAGAATCCTAGGATTAAACCCCAAGTTCCCCACACCTTGTAAACATGCTGACTCTGACACTCCAAAAATGTTTCTCCCTATCCTTTCAAACAGATATGGCTGCATATATGTGGTGAATATCCTCATTTGTATCCGCCTTTCCAAAAGCAGCTTCACCACTGAAACAATAGTGGAAACCTGTAGCCCCTTTTTCTTTCCCAGCCCTTGATGAAGAGCTAGAGTTGGGGTTGCTGAGCTTGCAAGGTGACTGGGTGACAGGTGACATGTTGTCGGAACATTTAGCAGGTAGCTCTTCCCCTTCCCTTGCTCTGGGAGCCAGTGCTGTGTTCTTGATTCCTCAACAATGACCAGCTTTTAGAGGAGGAGAAGGTGAGTTTCATAAGAAAATGGGACACAGAAGTGCTCTCCTAGCTGGCCAGACCTTTCTGCCAGAATCCTTCTAAGAGAAAAGTGGCTGCTTGGGTTACACAAGGGGTGGAGCCACCRCACATTCCTGAGCTAAAATAGCATTTACGACCCAGAGTTTGTGGTTYTGAGCTGGAACCTGAAACCTTTCTGTGGAGCTATTATCCAGTAATTTTAGAACCTCACGTGCTGCATCCCTGGAATTCACTTGATTCCCTGAACCAAACATATATATGTGAGACTCGCAAAGCCAGACTGCCCAGAGAATTTTTCTAATTCCCACTGCAGATCTAGAGATGCCTTTTGGTTTTGACTACATCCATCTGACAAGGCAGCTGGTTCATAAATACTCTCTGGCCATGGGAATGGACTCCAATTTACTAATCYCTGTTGCCCACACTCTGGGGACCCAGCCTACAGCCAGGAAGGCAGGCTTCATTAGGGCCAGCTTCCACGGTGGCTCACAGGTCCTACTCACCCCACTTCTTATGCCCTCTAAGGAGAGAAGATGTGCCGCAGATGGGCTTAGATCAGTGCTGAAGAAATGGGGCGCATTTAGAAAATCCTGAGTGCCATAGTAGGACCTAATCCTGCCCTGGGATTTGGAGTGTGGGATGTGGCGCTGGGTTCCAATCCTGAACATCATTAAATACTAAGAAGTTCTGATTTTCCTCGGATTTTTCAACACCTCCCATTTCACTTTCCTGGTTTTTGAAAAAATGTACTTATGACATCTGTTGAAGATTATACATATTCCAAGATTTCTTTATCTAAGGCAGCAGAGTTTTAAGGCCTCTATTGCACTGTGTTCCTAAATGCTTCCCTCAACTTGATATTATTTTGTGTATGTGTTCTAATTTTTAAAACAGCTTTTGTGTACATTAATCCACTTGAACCTTACATCAAACCTAGGATAATGATTCTTAGGCGTTTTAGTCTCTAGATTCTATTCTTTTTTTAATATGTATTTATAACGTCTTGTTGATAGATTCTGCCACTGTGCTCCTCTGTACATTTTGTTTTCACATGCAATCTCCCCACCCCCATACTGTGGATTGAACTCAAGCCTGCACTACCACTGAGCTGCACTGTCGGCCTTTTTTATTTGAGACACCCTTGCCAAGTTGCTGAGGCTGACCTTGAACTTGCTATCCCCCCGCCTCAGCCTCCTGGGTAGCTGTGATTCCAGATGTGTGCCACCAACCTGGCTACATGGAATTTGCATTTTTGTGCTGAATCAGAATCACCAGCAAGTCCTACAGAAAACTGACTATGTGATTGATATATATATATATATATATATATATATATGCATATATATGTACTGGATGATTTGTGCTTTGTAAAATTACAGTGATGATAATTTCAGTGCAGTTAATAAAGCTAACCCTTAATTCTCCACCTCTGAAAGTAGTGTTCCCTTTTTCTTACCAAGGACCAAACTACTTGCTCTTGCCCTTTGCCAACACGCATCTGTTGGTGGTGGTTCTACTGAGAACCTTGTTTTATTCCAAGGGAAAGAGCTCAAATCAGACCTTCTGTAAGGTTGTATTAAGAATTAAATGGGAAGCATAACACTCCTTAGGCCTTTTAATTAAATGTGATGAAAGAACCGGCTTTTCCTCCCTTCCTGTGGAAGGAGCAGTGCTAATGCTTTGCATTATGTGCTTCTTTTTTTTTTTCTTTCCTTTTTTTTTTTTTTTTTTTTTTTTTACCAGCAGATAGTTCTGTGACTCATATTCCAAAGATTTCTGACAAGGTGCCTAGACCACAGTAGGAGAAGCCGTTGTGCTGGGAAGATGAGTCTGTCAGCAGAAGCCTTCAAGGCCTCCGTAACCACCGAGCCTGGAGCCCCGGGAGTGCTCATGAAGTTTGTTTTCTTTTGATCATTGCAGTGTATTGCCCAGGTCTTAAACACTCTTCATAATGAGTTGGAATTTCATTTTGTACTTCCACCTTTGAGCCTTAATAGTTTCATGACTTTAAAATTAAGTCTTCTGATAATCTGTGATGTGTGTCTTCTTCAACAATTCATACCCTTTCTTTGGAGGTATTGGTGATGGAACCCAGGCTCTACCGTGGAACTACATCACCAGTCCTTTGTGTTTGTGTGTGTGTGTGTGTGTGTGTGTGTGTGTGTGTTGAGTCAGGATCTCACTAGTTGGTGAAGTTGGGCTCAAACTTGGGATTCTCATGACTCAGCCTCCTGAGTAGCAGGAATTACAGGTGTGCACCACTGTACCCAGCAAATATTATAATATATATATATATATATATATATATATATATACATATATATATATATATATATATATATATATATTAGTAAGATATCAAGTTATAGTCAGCCAGAACTTGAAGAGTTTTAATTAAAGATAATTATAAACCAATCACTTTCTATTTTTTAAAAAAACTGGGCAAAGGGAGCTGTTTTTTGCATAGGCTTCATGCAAACCTGGGCAGCCAAGGTGATTTTACATTAAAAGCCTCGAGCAGCAGGTGCCCCGTTGGCCCACCTCTGTGGAAGTCCTGGGATCTGGCATCTATGTAGCAGCTTTACAGAGGCAGCTCTAAGTGTGTGCAAGTCCAACTGTGGTGTCCCCATCAGTTCACCTCTACATACCACGCAACTGCAGCCCTATGATAAGTCCCACGAAGTCTGGGCACGGGGCAATAATATCTTCTCACTTGAAGAAATTTTTGTTTGTATTAAAAATTACCCATGTCGTCAAGTTTTTTAAGAAACTTGTATTTTTTAACTAGTCTCTGCTTTACCCTGCAAGGCAGGTAGGGGGCACTACTCCCTCATCCTTAGGAAGCAGGAGCAGCCACTGGCCACTAGGGTTGTCCCTGTCATTGAATACAAGTTGAAATTCACCCATTTGCTGATTCTAGGAAGAGTCACTCTCACCCCAGGCTTGTTCTCACATCATAAATGGATAGATAATTTTCTGAGTTTCTCATACTGTAGCTATAGCAGATTACAAGCAGAAATTTTTAAAAGGCTGTCACTAAAAGCAGAAGGAAGCAAAGACTACCAGGCCAACAGGAGATTTTCAAAATAACTAGCAGACATCCTAGGACTTTTAAAAGCAGCATTCTAGGGCTGGGCTATAGCCTGGTGATAAAGCACTTCCCTAGCACGCATGAGGCTCTGGGTTTGACCCCCCCATACTGGAAGGGGAAAAACAAGCATTCTATGTCTGAAGGGTCAAACAACCTTCTCATCCACTGTTCCTTTTGCATTAGAGCCCAGTATGCTTTCAAGTTTACATATAAAAGGAAATTATGTTCCACATGTTCTGGATAAGAGGCCCAGGAAATGTGCAATATATGTAGGATTGCCAACAGAAATCACACGTGGGCTGGGTGAGGTGGAGCACACTTGTAATCCAGTGACAGGAGGCTGAGGCAGAAGATTGCAAGTTCGAGGCCAGCCTCAGGAACTTAGCAAGAATCTATGTCAAATAAAAATACAAAAATAAAAGAAGAGGCGATATGGCTCAGTAGAAGAGCACCCTGGGCTCAATCCCTAGTACCAAATACATATATATACACACACATACATATATACATACATATGTGTATATAAATGTATGTGTGTGTATATATATATATGTGTGTGTGTGTGTGTGTGTGTGTATGAATAATATATGCACTGTATCATTTAGGTGGTAAGAGACTGAATGATATTGGCATGAAGTTGAGTTTTTCTGATTATGAACCAAACATCTGGTTCCATGAGAGCTCAGCTCACACTGGGCCTG